CCCATGCCTGATGACTTTGTTGCAAGGTTAGTAGGTTCAAACCATCTGGAATTGCTGCAAATCTACAAGTAAAAGATTTGCTGGAAATCTCTATTTGAATATCACAAATTAATTAGAAACTCAATCTAAAAGCATGCGAATAGTGAATCTGAAAGCAAATTTTCAAAGTATGGAATTCATGCATGCCAATTTTCAACATTATATTTATATATATATATATATATATATATATATATATATAATTTGTGCTATGACATCAATTCACTATTCTTTTACTTTCAAAGATTATAACATAGACTAACTATGTTTTAATTGATCAGGTTTTGCCAAAGCAATATGTTGCAACTAAACATTTACTTTGTCAACAAACCATTGAAGTACAATAGTAGTTTGATCAGAGAGAAATGAAGGCAAAAACAACTATGGTGTATCAACTATCCATGAATGGTCTTGTAACTTGTTGTGTTCTTTTACATTATTCAATTCTTGACGATTGAATCAAAAGCCAATGTGATATCATTTTTTGAGATAGAAATGAATAATATGTGCAGTTAAAGCCATATGAATCTATGATGAGGTTTTATTAAGGCCCTATAAATTGTTGCATAACTCAGCTTTTATTTCACTTTTAGTGAAGAAAATAAGAAATGCAGCCAATCAGAGATCAAATTTGTCTCCTTTGTTTATCTTGTTGATTTACCCCCTGGATGTATTTTATACAAGAGATACAAAATTCTTAAAATTATCCCAGTTTTTTAACAATTGATTCTGCAAAATCAACTATCTCAACAACTTGCAATCTGAGATTTGTTTTTTTAATTAATACTACTAATAATTAAAAGAACCACTTGTTGAACTTGCAAAATTATGTGGGACTCTTGCAACAAGTCTCCGGTACTCTTTTAACTTCTTTCTTGGGGTAGATGCCTGACACAACCTTTAAAGACGATTGAAAAAAGAAAAAAAGGAAAAAGCAGAAAAGCAAAAGGCAAGCATCGACGGCTCCGAAGAGCCTCAAACAGGCTCCCCTTGAGCTGCCGCTCGGTACCGTCGACAATCTTTGTCCTATCTGGCGCGGACGCGCGTCTGCGGCGATTTATCCTCATCCCCGTCCGTGGCATTCGTCACACGACGAAGGCACCGTCTCGGGTCAGAAACTGCAAAACACCACAAAAATTACTTTGCTTTTTTTATGCAGCAGGGGGGAAAGATGAGACTTTTCAGCCAGTCCCACAGAAACAAAACAAAACAAAAAAAAAAAAACTCCAAATGTGTGGAACACACCCACAAAAACACACTAACACATACACAGTTCGTTCGAATATGTGCATTCTGTCTTTCAAACATTCCTTGGATTTCTTTCAGTAAAAGGAGTGTCCGTCGACAAGGATCTTCGACATGTGCCAGAGTCTGATTTCCTTGAGAGTTAGTTAGTTTAGGTTCATACAACAGCGTAGTACTCATGGTGCTCGTAACGCCCCATAGCTCTCCTGGACGGTGTTTTAATCAAACCCCTCCCACCCCACAAAACAAGTAGTTTCGACTCTCCGAGTTTGTTTTTTTGTCCTCAACTTCGATGATGTTGAATGAAGGACATTTTAAAATGAGTTTTGCCTGCCGTGCACAGGAAGCCAAAAACACAGATCCCAACCCCTAACGCAATTAACGACACGCAACGACGGATTGCGCTTGTGACCTGCGCTTATCGATCTCACTCAGAAACGTCCATCGACTGTCCCGGTGTCGGTGGTGGTGGTCGCAACGGCACTATTTTCCAGCACCGTTGCAGAATCTTCTTTCGACATCATGACTGTATGTGGCGGATTAGAATTAGAATCATGCAGCAAAGGTTTTCCAATGCTTTTCTCTACAACATGATGTGGGTTCTGTTTCATGTTTCAAGAGCTTCATTACAATGTTAAGCAGACAATCTTCTGTCTGCTTTCGCATTTTTTTTCCTTATGAGACTGAAACATGGATCTAAATATGTTTGGCGCAGGAATGAAACACAGACGCTTGTTTTTTTATGTTTATAAGTTGATTTTTTCTTTTCTGTTGGTGTTTAGAATTGTAGATGATGTTATGTTTCTGTTTGGGTGTTTTTATTTTTTTATTATTTTATTATTTTTTCTCTTATCTTCATTTGATGTTGGTCTTTTGTGCATTGTGTTTTGGATTCTTCATTGGTTGCATGATAGTTGATGTCTTGAACTGCATGTTTTGCATATACAGGAATGTCTTTCAATTAAATTAAACTGTGTCATTTTCTTTATTTACATCGTTTGACGCTTATAGACTTATTTTGAAAGTTGGCATCACTGATTTTAAAAACTTTCAGTCAATTTTACATACGGTTATTATTTTCCTGATTGATTTTTGTTATATATATATATATATATATATATATATATTCATATATTCATGCATACATACAAATACTTTGAAAAAAAATCTTTTCCAAAGCATCATGACTAATGAGTTCTCTCTTAGGAAAAAAAAGTATGTTAAAAAAATTTAATCATGGTATTTTAACATGTATTCAAATTGAATCATGAAGACTTCGTTGTTTCAATTACAATTAATAGTAAACTACAGGAGAAAATAACACAACTGCAGATTGAACAATTTAAGTAAGCACAACACTTAAATTCTATTTTTAGTTTATGTTTACATGATATATGTTGTCAGGTGTCATTACAGTGACAATCACACATCTTTTTTTCAAAGTTTTTAGAATATATATACATAAATATTAACATTAGAGCCCCTTTGATGATTGTAAAGAGTAACATGTTAAAGCAAATTATTGAGATTTAGAAAAGAGCAATACAATGTAGATGAACACATTCAAACAAAAATCTTGGATTATTTTCAACTTTTTATTTATTTTGTTATTTAATATTCTATTCATCTTCTATTGATTATTTTTTAAAACTTATTTAAATAAATTTAGTAAAAATAATTACCATAAAATTTTAATTTAAGATAATAATTAAAATTATCTAGTTTAATGTTTAATAGAGTTCATTCTAAATGAAGGTTCAAGTCTCATGATCAACCTCAATTTTGATGACACATCATAGAACTAACTAAGTTTTACAAACTTGTAGATTTATAGCTACTTTTATAACCAAAATGAACATATATTTTTACAGAGCTACTTGTCAATAATTGATAATAGTACTTGTCAATAATATAATATAATATATTATTCAATTCTACCAAATGTTTAACTACAATTTTTGTTTTGTTTTTTTGTTTTTTTAAAATTTCATAAAAGTTACACTTTTTTTTTGCTATTTTGCAATAATGTCAATGCTCTGATATTAAGTGTGATTGATGAGATTTTTTATATAAAAATATCCAATGTATGTGCATATGTGCATACATATATATTTTTTGTAATCCAGAATAACAAATTTTGTATGTGTTGTTTTTAAAATTTACCCGTCACTTTGTTTTATATTCTTTATATGACAAAATCCTGCAACAAAATTGTGTTTTTTGATTAGCCTTTTTCCAAATAACACCCTGTTTCCATTCTCGGTGTTCATATGGACAAGCATGGTTAAATGATTAAATTTCTTGCATAATAATCCAAATAAAGAAGCTGGTAAAACTGGTAAATATTCATTGGAAATCCATGAAATTTTACTTCAATTGTGCACTAAAGTGAAACATCCACTTCTAGCCAAAACCCATAAGAATTATGAGGTTGCATTTCATGTTTCTCTTACTTTTGCATTTAATTCATTTTAATAAAAAATTTACTCTTATTTATTTAGGTGTGTAAGATTATTTGTTTGTTTATTTATTTATTTATTTTTTCATTCTATTTTGCATATGAGTGTTCCCTATTTCATTATCTTAACCAGTTCTTGGATAATGTTATTGAAATGTGTATATGTGATGCTTAATTACATTATTTATGTTGTGATTAATCATTAAATGATATATGAATACTTATCAAATAACTTCAGCATACTATTTCTTAAGCAAAGGAAAAATCCCAATTCTCATAGATATACATACATCCATATCACAACACAATTGAATTTATTTTTATTTTTACTTTTCAATATATTTATAAATAAACTTATACTTAAGTTGAAAATAAAAGTTTTTGTTGTTCGGGCTTCTTTGAATCAGTTTAATGAAATTGAGGTGGATGTTAGAGATTTAATATACAACAGTTGGGTAGTGTAATATTTTTAAGTCCATCACGACATTTTAAATAATATTAAACTAAATATTTATAATAATACTACTCTTTTACAGTTTCAAAACTTAGATCAATCTTCCAATAAGTGCCAGTGGATTTCTATTTTGTGAACAATTGGTGAGTAAAATTTTTGAGCACCACATAATTTATGGTAGTTTACCTTTTTATATTTTATTTTTTAATAATTAAAATGAAAATGATAACTGTATATCTTCTCCAAATTAAGAACTTTCCCTTGCCTAATAATCTATTTAACAAAGATACATTATTCGATCAAATTACATCATTTGGTTGTCACTGCTTTTGTTTGTATAGAAAACACTGTTTTTATTAGTCACTCAAGCTTTAGCAAATATTTTAGTAGTTGAATACAGCAAGTACTTGGAAATAACTTACAGTTATATAATACAATTTGAAAATACATTAGTCTTAAAAGACCATCATATATTTCATCCTGGAAAAGAAAAATCAAAAATCAAAAAAAAAAAAAAAAACATCATGAGATTATACAGAAAAATTTATAAAAAAAATATATATATATATAAAAGCTTCACTCAAATTGAGAACTCTAGCCATGCTCAACACGATTAATATCCTCATCTGATGGATGATTCATTGCCCCGTCAGTGGGGTCAACTTAATTCATCCATAAACATATCATCCATCCACGCATCATCCACCAACAGCTCATTTACTCATCATTCATCAACATATTATCATTCATCTATACATGTATGCCTGTCGAATGGACAAGAAGAGATCCTCTCTGCTCGATTAGGGTTCTGTCTTTTTGGAGTCCGTAGGACTGTATGTGTCGAAAGTGGTTTCGAAATATTATTATATAGCATTCATTGTAGCATTGGAGCAGAGGAGAGGAGTAGTAGTAGTAAAGGAAGGGGGATTAAGGAAGCGTCATTTTTTTGTTGCTTTTGTGTTTTTGTTGTGGTAGTGACTGAGTGAGACAACGTGTAATTGCAATTGCTGCAATGGTGATGGCTTCGTCGACGCGACAGATGCTAGTGAAGGGTTTGGACGGGCGGACCTTGTGCTTGCGCTTCGAGGGCGAGGGCGATGGCGTTGTCTTGGGGGAGAGCGTGGCGCTGCGCGTAAGCCAGCGCACGGGCATTCCACTGCACTGTATGCGCTTGGTGACGGGAACGTCGGTCGTGGATCGCGATACTTCGCTGTCCGCGTCGGTGGACGGGAGCTTTCCTTCGTGTACATTGCTGCTGCGCTTGCCTGGAGGGAAGGGAGGGTTTGGTTCTCTGCTGCGTGGGGCGGCTACCAAGGCTGGCCAGAAGAAGACAAGTAATTTTGATGCTTGTCGGGATATGAGTGGCCGCCGATTGCGTCATGTGAACGCTGAGAAGAAACTGAGGGAGTGGAAGGCGGAGTCGGGGGAACGAGAGCTTGAGAAAGCTGCGGAGGAGTTTCTGAAGAAGGCTACGAAGGCTAAGGAGGAGGACAATGGTGCGATTGAGGAGCTTGAAAAGTTTAGAGCCGAGACGTCACACGCCATGGAGGAAGTGGAGTTAGCCGTGGCCTCGGGGCTAGTCGAGGCTGACAAGTTAAACACCAATAGCAAGCGCAAGGTGGAAGAGGAAGCAGCTGCGATGGAAAAACGTGCTCGCTTATGGTAATCATCTGTTTCGATCTTTGGGAATTTGGTAGGATTAATGTGTGTTTTTCATTAGGGTTAAGTATATTCTCAGCGGGTTTTTCTTAATATCGACAAATAGGAAATTTAACTTGGGATTAATAATGCTCCGTAGTGAATGTCCTCTTACAGTTTTGAGTAACCCTACCTCAATTCCTTGAGTCGAGATTCTAATCTTTCTACTTAATAGTGGTTAATCTGTTTCTTACTGACACTATGTATGGATTGTTTGCCTCAGGATGGGAGATGAAGATGACAGTGAAGATGATAGTGAAGATGATACTGATGAGGAGAGTCTAGATGGAGAGACAACTCGTAATTTACCAACCGAGGGTGCTTGACTCGGCTGTGGTGTTGATTATAGCTATGAAATGTGAGTCAAGATAACGGGGTTATAGCTACAGAGTTGATAGTTGTACAAATTAAGTAATACTAAAAATAATAAAATAGGTTTATCTTTTGTATTTTTAGGAAATAATGTGCATTAGTCTGGAGACTTTTTAATGAATTTTTACATCAATATTTTCATGCTTGTGGTTTGTATGTTTTTCAAAATCGTTGTGTTTTTCATTCTTATGTCTTATTCAATGTTTTATTTGTATGTTTCATTCTTATGTTTTACAAAATTGTTGTGTTTTTCATTCTTGGTATGTTCATCAATTATTTCTTGTGCACAATTTCAATTGTATTGATGCACAAATGAAAACATCAATTTTCATAATTTTTACGAGTAGCATTTGTAGAATGGTGTTTAGATAAGATTACCAGCAGACAACAATTTTGTAGCTTTGAAAGGTCCTTTTAAGTTCTCTTTAATTATCTTTTTTTTCTACTATGAAATTGTTTAAATTTCATAGAAAATTGCACGTAAATAATTTAGAATCAAGATAATTATTTTACAGAAAACTACATGTAATATAAAATTAAACGGATGCTAAATCAATGCTAGTGGTTCTTTATAAACTATACAATACCATGGGATTTTTTACACTATTGTTTCAAAGAAAAAAAAAATACATATTTAATATATATGCCAACTTTGTAAGTAGTAAACATTGTATAGTTAGATATTGTTAATTCAGACTAAAACAGTTTAAAAAAAAATACTCTATGATTTCCAATGTAGAATTATAATATGCAAATATATCTATATACTTGTCAAGGATAAGAACTCGATGAGAAAACAATTTAGACAAGTGAGCCTTCACTCAAAGAGAAGTAACAAAATATATATAAACAAGTATATATATTGAAAGAGAAACTGGAATGGCTATTGCCAAAAGACAAGAAAACTAGAGACCCTTGAAACTAGACTAGAAGCAAGAAAGGAGTTGACAAGAGTGAAGTAGCCTTCACTCTTGTCTCTATATATACTCTCTAATTAGGGGCTACGTGGCGACGTTCTATAGGACCTCCAATATGTGTTGACTTTGTAAGGCACATGCCTTGACTTACAAGGTAAGTTTTTCTATGTGTAGGCCACATAGTTAGCTTGATCTTCAAGCTAACAACATGTGTAGCACATGGCCAACTTGTTGACCACGTTTCTAATCCAAAAAGTCAATTAAAGATACCTATGAAGTCAAAACAACATCTAGGAAGTTTCTAAGAAGCTTCCATATTAAATATTATAGAATTAACTTACTTTTACCTACTTTTACTTACTTCTACCTATTTCTATATGTAATTATTAGCTTACATGATTATGGCCGTGACATTACCCCCCCTTCTGGGAACGAGTTCCACGAAGAGCGGTCATCATATGTTGAGGAAATCTATGATGTGACGAATTGTATTCGCCACATACTCTGATCTCTGTTCTCTTCGAAGATGATTGATAGGGCCTCTCAACCATCAGTAGTGTCCCATACCAAGGCGGGAAGACCACCCAGTTATTTGATCCTTATTGAGGCCTTCGTAACTTCCTTCGAATAGCATATTTGGAACACCATCACGAGTTGTTCCTACCTCTAGCAAAATCACCAAACATCGGGAGTCCCTTCCCAAACCGTGATACCAAATGCGTTGTATTTCACCATCTATTCGAGGAAGAACATGTCGTTCTTGAAGTTCTTCATCTCGATTGCGTCGTCTTGAAGGTTGTGACAATCGTAATGTCTCGTCCGACAGGTCAACAAATGAAGGCTCTTGAGTTGAATCCGCTGGTTGTTGGTTCTCCATCTCTTGAGCGCCACTACTACAACGAAGCTATGAACAAGAAATGAAAGTAGAATGTTATCTTGCCTAGATATTGTTTCTTTTATAAAAAAAGTTTTCATCTTGATTTTGATGGATGTCATTGATGAAAAGCCTCCACCGCCTTTGCTGCATTTGCAAGATTCATTATTGGCTCCCATGTGCGTTCACTAATATCATATCCGCGCCAATGGACAAGATATTCTAATTTATTTTAGCGCCGCCTCGAATCTAAGACTTCTTCTACTTCAAACTCTTCATTATTGTCTACTTCTATAGGAGGAGGTGGAGCTTGTCGTCTTCTTGGTATGTCCACTGCCTTGTATGGTTCAAGAAGAGACACGTGGAATACTGGATGGATTTTCATTAACTCCGGTAGATGTAAACGATATGCAACTGGATTGATTTGTGCAGAAATAAAAAATGGTCCCAGCCTTCGATAGTCCAACTTGTCACAAGGATGAATGGTCTTGATATTGCAACGAAGTAGCCATACCTTATCACCTAAGACGAATGATGGTTGTTCCTTTCGATAGACATCCACATTGGCTTTTTGTTGTTCTTGAGCCTCTTTTAACTGCGCCTTCATCGTTGCATGTAGCTCTGATAAATGAATTGCCAAATCTTTCGCAGTTGGATTATTAGCTTTGGAAAAGTCAAAAGTATCAAGTCGTGGATGATAACCATAATTAGCAAAGAAAGGTGTTTGTTTTGTAGAAGAGTATATCATGTTATTGTAAGCAAACTCTGCCAATGGCAAAAGAGTTGTCCAATCATCTTGTTGGTAATTAATAGTACATCTTAAATATTGCTCCAAAACTTGATTAACACGCTCCATTTGTCCATCAGTTTGAGGATGGAATGTCGAAGATAGTTTTATATCCACTTTAAGAATCTTGAAAAGAACCTGCCAAAATCTTGACACAAATTGAGTTCCCCTATCTGATATAATATCCTTGGGTAATCCATGATAGCGATAGATATTGTCAAGAAAGAGCTTAGCTATTTCTTCACATGTGATAGTTTTTGTACATGGTACAAAATGTGCCATCTTGGTAAAACGATCTACTATCACGAATATAGAGTCATAAGAACCTGAGATTGGAAGATCCGTGATGAAGTCCATAGAAACAAAAGACCATGGTTGTTCTGGAATGGGTAATGGCTGAAGAAGTCCAAAAGGTCGATGACGAGGAGTTTTCGATCTTGAGCAAACATCACATGATTGTACAAAATCTTTACTGCCTTCTACGTTTGAGGCCACCAAAAATCCCTAGATATCAGCTCCAAAGTCTTATTATATCCGAAATGTCCTGCTGCTAGAAAGTCGTGATGAGCTTGAAGAACACATAAATGTGCTTCTCCTTCTGGAACAAATAGGCGTCCTTTGAAATAGAGTAGGTTGTTCTTGAATTCAAATTTAGATGGATCATGAGATTTAGAAGAATTGTTCTTGATATCATGAACAAGAAGGTCTGAAGACATACTTAATTGGACTTGCTTAAAGAAAGTTAAATCAACAATCAATGTTGATTTTATTGCTCGAAGATGAAATTGTTTCGGCTTCAAGAGAACCGTTCTTTGTTGCTCAAAAGCTGCATCTCCTTCTTTTGGTGCAAGATAAGAACGTCTAGATAAGGCATCAGATAAACCTTGTTGTTTTCCTGGTCGATAAGTAATGATGAACTCGAATCTTGATAAAGACATGCTCCAACGAGCTTGGCGATGATTTAATACACGTGTTGACATAAAATATTTGAGGTTCTTGTGATCTGTATACACAGTGACTGGACTAGAAGCGCCTTCTAGATAATGGCGCCATTCTTCAAAAGAATCCACAATTGTAAGAAGTTCTTTGTCGTGGATCTCATAATTGATTTCTACTGCTAAGAATTTTCTTGAAGGAAAGGCTACTGGATGAAGTTTGTCATCTGTTCCCATTTGTGATAAAACCGCACCCAGAGCAAAGTCCGATGCATCTGTTTCCATAAAGAATGCTTTGGAAAAATCAACACGATACAAAATTAGTGCAGAAACAATCGCTGTCTTCAAAGATTCAAAAGCAACTTCCGCTTCTTGATTCCATTGGAGTTTGTCTTTACAAGTCAAACGTGTAAGTGGAGCTGTAACTCGAGAGAAGTCTTTGATGAAGATCCGATAGTAGTTAGCAAATCCTAAAAAACATTGGACATCTCTTACCGTTTTTGGGATCTTCCAATCTATAATAGTTTGAACTTTCTTAGGATCCATCATAAGTCCATCATTTGAAATGATATAACCTAAGAAATCAACTTGAGTAGTGTGAAATACACACTTTTCTATCTTGGCATAGAGTCCTGCATCTCTTAATTTTTGTAACACACGACGAACATGAAGTTCATGTTCTTTTGGATTCTTAGAATAGATCAAGATGTTGTCTAGATAACATACTACAAAATCGTCCAAAAACTCTTGAAAAACATCATTCATTAAATGTTGAAAAGCTACTGGTGCATTTGTAAGTCCAAAAGGCATGACGTAGTATTCAAAATGTCCATACCTAGTTCGAAATGCAGTCTTCCATTCATCTCTTTCTTTGATGCGTACTAGATTGTATGCTCCTCGAAGATCTATTTTTGTATAGATCTTAGCTTGATTCAAGTGATCAAGAAGTTCAGATATTAAAGGTAGTGGATACCTGTTTTTGATGGTAATCTTGTTGAGTCCTCGATAATCAACACACATCCGCAATGATCCATCTTTTTTCTTCACAAATAGAATTGGAGCTCCTGCCGGAGATTTAGAATGGCGTATGAAATTCTTGGTTAGATTTTCTTCAATATACTCCTTGAGTTTAGCCAACTCATTTTGTGATAAACTATAGATTGGTTCGAATGGCGGTTGTGCTCCTTCTTCAAGGTCAATTGAGCAATCATAGGGACGATGTTCCAGGAGTGTATCCGCATTTTTTTTTCAAATACATCTTGAAATTCTTGATATTGGCTTGGAATGCCACTTAAAGTCTTTTCACCAGTAGAAATGGGTGTAGCATAAATAATGTATGGTGATTCTTTCATAGCAGCATGCAAGAAAGCTTTTACACCTATAAATATGGGTTTAATTGAATTGGACTTATGACTCTCTACTTGCTTAACTACATTGTTAGTTATACTTTTAGAGAAAGTAAGAGTTCAGAAAATCCTGTCTATTTGAGGGTTGTATTTTTCTAACCACGATAAACCTAAAATGACTGGATTAGAGGGAGATAATGATATTAAATGATATTAAATACTAATGATATTAAATACTATAAAACTATTATGACCATTGATTATTACTTCTATAGGAAGGGTTTCG